GCTTGGCGCTGGTGAGAGGATGGAGTGGCAGCGATTGGGAAGCTGCGCAGCCTGCAAAGTCAGTAGTGTGCCCCTGATGCTCAGCCCTGCCTTGTCTCATCCATCATGTGTGGATAGCTTAGCCTTCTTGCTCTGCCTGCTGTGCCCAAGGGGGAGGACCTCTAAGAGAGGGCTGGACCCAGAATGTTTGGGATGTGAGGACAAGTGCCTGAACCATGTCTTCTCCACTAACGAAGCGGTTACCCTCAGTAGCGTTGCTCCTAGATTCCCAGGAAATGGCAAGGTTGCAAGTTGCTTTTTTACTTTGCAAGGAAAGTGTGTGGCCAGATACACGAGTTGCCTCTCTGCTTGCAGAGGTTTAGGTGAGGTTACAACAAACCATGGTAGTTCCAAGACCATACTTCAACCCTCACTGGAATTAAATGGGGCATCCACCTAGAATATATGTGCAAAAGCTAACAGCCAAGCTCATTCCAGGTCTTCTTACGTCCTGCAAGTTTTTAGAAATCACAGCAGTTAATCCTACACATCCTTTCTCTCTTTTAAGTGTCCTGCTATCCTAGCTGGCTAGTGATGCATTTTTTCAGTGTCCCGGTACAGTAAATAAAGAATACTGTTAAGCTGAATATTTTTTTCATAAATGCAGCATGATGCAGCAGATCGGCTGACCTTTTAGACATTGGGAATAAATCAGCAGTACTCAGTTAATGTGAATTAAATCCAGTAAGGAACCTCTTAACCTTCCCAGTTATTTCTAAACTAGCTTGTGTGGATGGAATTTGACTTTCTCTGGCATAAAAAGATGAGTAAGCCACCTGCCATGTGATCATGGGACTGGGTTCATAAAGTGAATACAATCAAGCTCAGGAGGATACCTCAAAAAAAAAAAAACCAAAACAAACAAACAAAAAAAGCAGCAAATAAAATATGAAGTGATGCCCCTTCTGCTAACTTTTGGCTGCTGTCCATCCCAGTCCATTCTCAGTGGCAGGTAAGAATTTCCCACCTGAACATAATTCCTCGGTCCTAAAATTGTACCCATTCACAAAACCTTGGAATGGGTCAGGTTGTGTACAGTAGTCATCTCTGTAGTCAGAGATTCTCCAATCCTAAAGCCTGTTACTTCTTGCTGGTGCCCTGCCTACTGCCATTCAGTGATTCAGGTTTTTTAAGATGCTGTGTAAGCAGGCTGTCAGCATGAGTCTCAGCCCATCTCACTGCTTTCTCTTGTACCATCTCTTCCTGCAGAGTTCCCTACAGAAAACAAGCCAAAAGCATGAACAAACAGCTGAACCAGAGACCTAGTACTCCAAGTAAGCTTTTGCCCATGACAAACTCTTAGCTTCTGTTGAGCTTATAGGGATGTGCATAGATCTCAAAATTCATTTTCATAATTACACTGAAAAATTACGGGAAGGTAGCCTTGTTCAAAGTCAGCTCTCCATCAGAGACAAGTCTTCTCCCTTCTAGCCTCTCCAGCATCTTAGAGCTTATATCCTCCCTCTAGCTGGGAAATTGCCATAGCAGGTTGTGCTCACTAGCCTTATTATTCTCCAAGCCTTTTCATGAAGCTCCAACATCCCCTTTAAAACTGCCTCCCATGTATGTATGGTGCAATTTACCTCTCATCTCTGGCTCATTGGCATGTGACTCTCTTAACAGCCTCCTGACCTGGCCTTACCTGTCCACAAGGGAAATGAGAATATCTGTTCACATCTGCCCTGTGATTTCTTCCTTGTGTGATCTTTTTACTGCATTCTTCTTCTGGGTGGATGTCCTAAAGAGGATTCTGGTTTGCTTTGTGTCACTCCAGAAATACTTCTCCTAAACCAAGTAAAGGCACTGTTTCTCCTCATCATGGCTGTGTATCAGGTATTTAGATAAGCTCTCCAGGTAGTATATGAATTTGAAATACAGTCTTTCCTTCATTCACATGAGTCACTTCAGTTAATGATAATTATCTTAAAGCAGCTAAGAAAGAGTAAGATACACAATTTAAATGCATTTGGGAATATTTAGGACATGACCTGCTCTCCTGCTCCTTCACTGGGAAAGGTACAACAGATTGAATGAGAAGCCTTAAAAGATTAAGCCTGAGTGATTTTTCCTTACTGCAGTAGAGTCAGGTTATTTTACACACACACACACAAAAAGCATAAATGGGCAAAAGCAAAGATAGGTTTTACCTGATATTTGAAAATAACTAATTATTTTGTTTGAATAATGACATCTTTCCTGTAGTAGGGTGAGTGAAAGGGTTAAATGAGCTTTCATGGCTTTCAGCTCAGTTTGTAGATTTTTTTTTTTTAGTAGGCTCCTTTGGCAGTTATTATTTGACATTGGCTTGATAGTTTTGCATGTAGATAAATCAGTGGTTTATACCTCATTTGAAACTGTACTGAAACTAGAATATACTCAGCATTTGATACTGTAAAGTAAATAGAAAATACTATGGAAACTCTGCTTTGGACAATCTAGACAATTTCATAGAAGGGAAGACAAAATTGGTTAAACGTAACTTAGATTTAAGTGACAGCTGGGTTCACAAATCATCAGTTTTATTTATCTTTAAGGCTGATCTCCAAATTAGGTTGTTGATATATCCATGTAACTGTGAACCTGAGACTATTTTTCTTCTAAGCATGAAGCATAAAAGCCATGCTTTGTCGTTAATTTGGGGAATTCAGCACAAATAAGGCACAGCATTGTTGTTGTGTCACAGAAATATATTTTTCCCAGTGTGTATATTAGACTGCCCTGATAGTTGTTGAAACATCTCAATTACACAAGCCTTTGTATTTATTTATTTATTTACTTTTCCAAAAGCTGCTGGAAATTTGTTGCCTTTCTTTTTGTATGAGGATCACAGTTTCTTTTAGACAATTTTCTTTATAACTTTGTTTTCATTCCAAGTAAGTGTAAATGCCAGTGTTCTGCGAGAGAGGTTTTTCACTAACTTGTACAAAACAAGGAGAAGGATGAGTTTTTCTGGGAGATCCTTCATGCTTTTTTCTTCTAATTTTCTAAGTAATTCTGTTGAAATAGCTAAGATCTGGCAGTGTGTCCCCATATGACCCCCCAGAGGCTGAAATGAATCCAGAGAGCGGACTGGGAGTCAGAAGAGGAGCCTGGTTATAGGTGTTTTAAATTGAACCTGGAAAGACTTTCTTTCTCTCTATTGCTTATGGAGGGAGACTGGGGATACTTCATCTTCCTGGGCTTTTGGTTGATTTCTGAGGTCACCCCCTTCTGTGATGAGCCTTGAGAAACCACAGAGTACCGCATAAACTCATCACAGACTCATATTGGCTTTTGCAAGGCTTGTCTACAAAGAGACACTCAAAAGGGTGTGAAAGTGGAGGAGTCAAAATTGGGCTTGGAGTGAGTGCCTTTCCAGGAGGACGCTAAGAAGAGTATGAAGTTTCACTGCACGAAGTCCTTGATTATTTTTGCATGTTGCAGCATGGGTCTGGCCTTGCTGAATGGGCTTCGTTTAGGTTTGTTTTCCAGTGCAATCCAAACAGGCTGCTGCTTAAAGGCAAGTTGCACAGTGAAATGACCCCTTTTTTCATAGATATCAATGGAGTAACATGACTGTCTGCTTTCTATGGAAAAGGCGAGTAAGCAGCTCTAATTAAAAATTATCATTAGTGGATCAGAGCTGGAGGCTGCTGCTAATTCAAAAGAGAAGGAATCAAGTGCTTTATTGTTAAGGGAGTTCAAGCAAACTAAACAGAAGTAAAATCTGAGGGGACTCCTGGCTCTCCTGGGAAATGGCAGATTTGCCTGATACTGCAGGGTCCTGTATGGAGGGGTAGAGACAGAGAGTGGAAAGGTAAGTTGGGAGTGGAGGAGGGAGGGAGTGTATCACTTCTGGCAGAGTAGCCTAATCACCTTTGGGAAGGAGGGAGTCTTAAAAGATAGAGCTGACTTGGTGAAGATAAAATAGGTTGGGCCACTGAAAAAATGGATGAAAGTGAATGCTACCAAGCTAATACTGTTCTGCTGCTGGTCCTGTGACACCTCACTGAGGATGATGGGAAAGGACTGGCCCCTCAGGATAAACAGAAAAATCTTCTGTTTTGTCATACAGAAACTATGAAGAGGCCAAATGTAAGGTCAGACTCCTGGGACCCACAGCTAGCTCCACTCCAGTTTCAGCACATGAGCCACAGAGAGCTTTAGAGGCTTTAAGTTCATCCCAGTGCTCCTGCTTAAGCTCCTATGCACTTGATCCCTCTGTCATTGAAGTTAGCATTTATCTGATACTTGCCGTCTGTCATTGCATCTGCTGTTTCCTGCCTTAGGTATCACTTAATCCTGCTGAGTTCAAATATTAGCTCACAGAGCCTTGCCTTGATCCCATATCTTCCCAATTTGGTAAATCTCTGTTTTTCTTTAGCAATTGTTTCCAGGTTTCTATGCAATTTTCATTCTCCGTGACCCAGTTTTCCTGTTCAAGCAAAGATGACTTGATGCTTCCGTCTGTTTGACTCTCAAAACAGAGTTTCTTATGGTGTTACTAAAATGCTGCAGCAAATGAGCATCTTTTTTGTCTGTTCTGAATTATTGTTATGTGTTTCAGAAGAAGTTGTAAATCTAGCATGAAATGTGTATCTATTGTATGGCTTTCTCTATAGGGACAATATCCTTAAGAGGTGTCACTGATTGCCATTCCTCTGACAGATTACAGCTGAAGGAGAATAAACTTTAGAAGAATGCTTTTTTTTGTCCCCAGATTTAAAAAAATATTCAGTTCAGCTTTTTGTGTGGATCTCATGATCTTTAAAACATTTGCAAAGTCTTAACAAGAAACTTTATTGTCATGCAAAGTTAAGGAGTAGTAAAATAGAACGGTGCTATAAATTACAGTCTGCATTCTTGCTTTGTGCGTAAGCTTGGTCATTTTCTTTTAACCAACATACAGTCTTGAAATGTCGATGTTGGCATTAATGGTACTTGTTTTCATCCTTAATATATGATTGTATTTTGGCACAGCTGATGGAATGTAACAATCTTTTTTGACCTGCTGTAGGGCCACACAAATCAAGACTTACTCCTGGGACAATGCACAAGTGATCCTGGTTGGAAATAAATGTGACATGGAAGATGAAAGAATTATTCCTGTGGAGAAGGGGAAACATCTAGCGGATCAGCTAGGTACATGTCAAAGCTTTTCTTTCTACTTTTTTCCTGCTTAGTTATACTGTGTTCCTTTTAATTTGTATGATAAAAAGTCCTTCCAGCCGTAATACTTTAATAATGGTATCACAGCTAAGAAGTGTAATATAATCTAGGTCCATATTTTACTTGTTTAGTGCTGAATACTACCTTCTTGTAGCATTTCTCCATCTGTAAAGCTAATATCTAAGGATGTAACGAAGATAAAGTTTGTCTGGATAGAGCAGCTTTTATTAGCTCAGTGGAATGAAATGAGAAAAAGTTTTCATAAACACAATTCTGTCTCCAGGTCTCTAAGTACCATATAGTTATTTTCAGAATGCAAGCATTGATTTTTGTAGAAGGATTTTTTTTTCAACTAAACAATGAAAAAAAGTTTATAAATCAGAACTGTACACTTGAGTAAAACGTATTTTTAAAATGTACTAGGCTTCTCTATCCAGGTAGGGAAATTACATTATGTTATTGATGCGGGATAGAAAAAGCAAAACATTTCTATCGAGAGGAAGCTGGGATTGCAGTAAAAATTTTAGAATGAGCAGCAAAATAAACTCATCATTTATTTTCTCATTTATTTATAATTTTTCATTATATACTATAGCATAAGTGATCTTTTTAATCAGGGTTTTTGTGTTAAGATTTAACTATACTGTCATCTCTTAAAGAATTCGTAGTGGCAAGTAAATCCTGTTAAAATTTAATTCAGTTAACAGTGGAGACACTTACAGTGGGCATACCGTAGATATTTGTTTAGCTTGTAAGAGAAGAGATTCTTACCAGACCCAAAGGAATCACCATCATCCCCAATTTATAAAATCCTACGTTGTCTTAATTCTTAAGCAGTGAGTGGAGGGTGTATTGTTAAACTGAGGGTACTGGACTTCCAGTATAAGCTGCGTACATTGTTGTAGTTCAAAGTGTGACCACGATCAAATTGCTAATTATGGTTAAATCTTAGATAATGGGTATTTATTAGTTGGGAGTTTTGTTGGTGGTGTTTTTTAATGAAGGGAAGGTATAGAAAATGTGCTCATAGATGTATAGAGTATGGCTTTGTGATAGGGACCTGTGTGATCTAAACAAAAAAATGGTCACTGTTCCAAAGAGTTAAGAGCAATCAGATTATTTTTTCATGGGGGGGGGGAGGGGGAAGCATGTCTACAAAGGCCTGCAGTTTTAGAGCCTTCAAGTGTAAATTCTACATGTACTAAACACAAAGGGGTCCCATTCATGACTGGAGCCTTAAGGCACTGCCATCATAAATAATAAGCAAATACCAAACTAAACTCTCTAATTTCCCATCATTGTTATTATTGTGATAATAACTCTTTACCAGCAAAGCAAACAAAGATGTGGTTAGTTTGCAAAACCAGGCTCTTTTTTTACACAGAATCTGATTTGCTTTTGAAAATATGAATGTGAATAAACTCGGTTCCTGGCTTGCAGACTCTCAAAACTGTTGTGAATGCAAGTGGGCCCACATATTTTGCAAGAGTAATTATGCTGTTAGTAGTTGAAAATTTGTCCAGAACAATGTAACAGCAAATAGAGAGTTTTACTGGAACTCTCACTCCTGTTTGGACTTCTAATGTTTTTTTTTCCTCCCCCAAAATTAATCTGCTTGTTTAAATACAAACTTGGCATCTAGAATCTGAATCCTTTAGGTATGGGACACTTCTGAACACACAGGCGCACAGATTTACTGTAGCAACTGACTCGGTCAGTAGGAAGCTCTTCTGCTGAAGAATCCACAGTTCTGCCCCTGACCTGTCCAGCTCACCATGGAGAAACGTACCCCAGTGCAAAGCAAAACAAAAACTAGCCATGCCTTTGGAAAGTGCTGTCCCAGTCCTCCTCTTCTGTAGCCTCCCAAAACACTAAATGCTCTTTTAAAAAGGCTGAAGAAATACATCTAGTTTTATCAATCAGTTTTTCCTTATATTAGCTGTGCTAATGTATATGGCATTATCTGAAATTATTGTGTTAGGTGGGAGGAATCTCTTTAATTGACTATCAACTGCTTAAACTGCTAGCTTTCATCATAATGATTCACATAAAGGTTGTCCTTCAGTGTGTTTATCGAAGTTTGTATAGTGACATTAACGCAATTGAAATAATTTCCTAATCAGATTAGGAATTTGTTATTGGCCTGAATGTGAACTAAACCAAAACAGATTCAGTGACAGCAGAAGCTAAACCAATGTTGGACCTACAAATACCTAAGTTCAGTTCTCTGATTTCTTGTGCTCTTTATATACATTTTTAATCATCATCAAAGACAGCAAGTGGGGCAGACAGAACCCTCGTCTGATGCCGGAAGCCATCCTGATTTAGTAACGAGGCAAGCGTCTCCACCATCACTTCACCCGTTGTTCCATGATTTTTAAAAAGTGAGAATGGGACTTATCTCACACATCAGGGTGACTCAGTCTACCGGCAGCATGGACTAATCAGTTAAGACAACTTATCTTTCCCGTCCTTTGTGGCAGATTCAAAGAAAACTGATGCAATGCAGAATACCCCCGAAATGAAGCACAACAGAATGTAGCTTATTGCAAAATAAACTCTCTGTGGTGCTTGAGCTCTTGCTGTTGGCAATATAGAAACCCGGTAGAACAGAAGCAACAGCCATTATAAGCGATGGTTGGCCTTTGAAGCCCCTGGGGTCAGAAAGATAAATGCTTTGCAGTTCAGTGCGTTTCTGCTGGCTGAGGCAGGGTTCAGGCTCTTCTGTGAGAAGGCTGGTTCTTGCGTGGCATGG